TTTTATCTTTGTTAAGTTCTTTTTGTTTCATTTACTTATCGCACTATTTTTTCTTTGCTTTAAGTCGATACACCGGATCCATATTTGAGGATGAGAATCCCTTCATCAGCTGAAATTGTCAAAAGAACAAAATGTGTTTCAAATAACAAGAACCCTGAGTGGAAAGAGGAACCATTTGTCTTTCATATTGATCCTGAAGAAAACAATGTGCTAGGTTTGTGAAATACATGAATTGATAAATAAAGTAAATATATATATATATAACAAGTTAAAAGGCCTCGAGCCAACAGTGACGCCGCGCCAGAAGGATCCAAAAGGATTCACAGTCCAAACCTCGATAAATAATAGGAAAAATATTGTAGTACACGAGGACGGACGACTTCGAGCTAGGAAAGACATATACTCAAATAAAAAGTCTAAGAAAGTTTAATAAAAACGTTTCGGTCCGAGACCTTCATCAGTTGTCATATATATATAAGGCGAAGCTCATCACCTTAGTTGTGATTTGAGCACTCTCGCATAGCAACATGCCTGCACTTGGTCCCACAAGTGTAGCGCCCAGGCAATGGTTTATTCCAGAGCTTGGCCCAGTCTGCATTGCACTGACGAGACCCACATGCGTCGAAACAGTGTGCGCCCTGTCTGCAGTTATATATATATATATAATTCTGGTATATTTCTGGTATAGTTGCAAGCTGTGATAGGAGGTAGCAGCCGACTAGTTCACATGTCTCCGCTCCATCAGAACATCCCATGGTGACGTCGAAAAGGCCATTCAAATTTTTCTTCAGCCATGGGGTCTCATTGCTAAATAGTAGTGATTCCTTAGATAGTAGGACGATTTGGCGATCATCTGGGGAGATGTTCATGTAGTTAAACGCGAAGTCGAGGGCACGTCCGAGTAGATTTTCCGTTATCAAGGGGTAGAATTCTACAACATTGAAACTAATGAAAGCAGATTCGCATTTATTTGGTAAATTCTTGAACCACTGCAGCACATAGGATGTGTTCTTCCATTGATTAACGCCTGTTGCATTCACAACTTTCTGGTTAATATTTTCGAGAATTGGCCACAGTCACAGTCCCTTCCGAGGAAGAAACTGAAGCGTACGTTGGCCTCACAGCAACAGATTTTAAGACTAGATGGCGCAACCACCGAATGTCGTTCAACCACGAGAGACGGCGAAATGACAAAGAGTTCAGCAAGTACCTGTGGAAACTCAGGGAGAAGAGGGAAGATTATTCGATTTCATGGAAAATTATTACTAGGGCTAGAGGATATTCCAATGCCACAAAAAGTTGCAATTTATGCCTCACTGAGAAATTTTTTATCTTGTCTTATCCTCATAAAGCCTCTTTAAACAAGCAAAGTGAAATAATATCCAATTGTAGACATCGGCGCAAATATATTCTCAAGTATTCTTAACGCTATTATCGGCGCGCGCACGGTTTTCAAGATTTGAATTTTTTAAACAATGTCATGTGATCACGTTGCTGAGTTAGAGTTAACCGTCACGATGCCTCAGTGTGTATGGAGTTTGACTGATGAGTGGATCAACTTTTGTTGGTCTACGAAACAGGCTGCGCTAAAATCCATATGTGTGTAACTTGAGTAGTCCATTAGCTTATATATATAAGCGCATGCTCGCTGGTTTACACTAGTTTGAGCACTCTGGCATGGCTTAGACGATACCACAAAGGTTGGGTCGTTTGGGGTGACCGTCTCGGTTCTCCCCCATCCTAGCATTAGCACTGCACTGATGAGGCCCAGAAGGCCGAAACAGTACTGTCTGCAGTTAGTTATATATATATATATATATATATATAACTAAGTGTAGAACGTAGATATTTGTAAAACAGTGCTCAATACATTAATGTAGAGCGAAGTATATGTTTGTGGAGGAGATTGAATTTAACTTTCCAGGTGACAGGGTAGGGGAAGCCTATAACCCCATATGAAACCCAACTAAGGATCTATTAAAGATACACGACCGAAGTCAACTTCGCGGATGACAAAGGAGGATCCAATTACGGATACAGGCTAATTTCAATTAAACAAATTCTGTATACGAGGGAAACCCTGACCCTGTACACCCCAGATAATCATACTTAAATAGAATAAATGTTTGAAATGGGGTTTCATATGGGGTTATAGGCTTCCCCTACCCTGTCACCTTGAAAGTTAAATTTCCCGGGAGACTACGTCTCCGATCACATAAATCACATCTTCGATTGCC